CATTTTCTTTCATTTTCTTAAATGTCTCATAGATCTAAAAGGAATCTGGTTTTGCACTTCATGGTCCTTGCAATTTTTGAAGTTCTTGATGAGTTTTCTAGAAAGGTTACCGAGAAAAAATGGACATGTTTTCTTCTTCTTCTTTTCAATTTTGTGTCGTTCGTAAAAAAAAATCTGATTTTTTTTTTTTAGACAGGATGGTATTTCTTCCTTTTGCTGTCACAGTAAAAAATAAATCCTTTTCCTAATACTTCGTTGATTCCGTACAATAACCAATGTAAGTTCCTTAACTTTTTATACTTGCTCTCATGTGAATATGGTTCGGTTAGCAAGACAAACAATTCGATATTAGTTCCTTCTTTTCCTTATGAAGAACGGATAATGTTTTTCTGATGAATAGTGGCGTGTTTCGCTCAAAAGCTTATCAAATGGAAACCCGAGGAAACAAATCACTTATAGCATGACTAAGTGAAAATGAAACAAATATATTGCTCGATATTGGAATGTTGTGGCAGAACCTGAAATTTATCCACACAAAGAGGGCTATTGTATTGTTAGATTTCAGAGTATTAAAGATCTGCAGGACATACGATATGGAGGCCCATACACCATAAGCAGTAGACCAATTGTTAAACAATGGACTCCTGATTTTGACTTTAAAGCTAAGTTTTCGACGGAAATCCCTATGTGGGTTATGTTCCCTAAGCTCCCTATGAATTACAGGGGGAGTAACTCACTAAGCAAGATGGAAAGCATACTAGGCAACTCTTTATTTGCTGATGGATGCAGCACTAATCAGACTAGGGTCTTTTATGCTATAATCCTCATTGAAGTTAATGTATCAAAAGATCTACCTAGTGAAATAAATGTAACGATCCGACTTGTCGTTTAGAGAATTAGCATTCCGTTCGGTGGCTTAAGGTCTCGAGGAGCTTTGAAATGTGTATTATGACTTGCGTGGGTGGTCGAGTTTGGTTTTCGGATGATTCGGAATCTAATTGAAAGAACAATTCTTGTTATAGAAACATAAGTTGAAAAGGTTGACCGGATGTTGACATATGTGTAAATAACCCCGGAATAGAATTTTGATGATTCCAATAGCTCCGTATGGTGATTCTGGACTTAGGAGCGTGTTCGGAAAATTATTTGGAAGTTCGTAATTAAATTAGGCTTGAAATGGCTAAAACGGAAATTTAAGTTTGGAAGTTTGACCGGGGACTTGACTTTTTGATATCGGGATCAAAATCTGATTCCGGAAATGGGAATAGCTTCGCTATGTCATTTATGACTTGTGTGCAAAATTTGAAGCCATTCCAGATTGAGTTGATACGTTTCGGCACAAGATATGAATTTGGAAATTTAAAAATATATAAGTTCGATTCGAGGAACAATTTGTAATTCTGAAGTTGTTTGATGTAATTTGAGACCTCGAGTAAGTCCATATTATGTTACGTGACTTTTTGGTATATTGGACAAGGTCTTGAGTGGCTTGGATATGTTTCGGATAGGATCCGGATCGAAATTGGACTTGGTGCATTGCTGAAGTCATGCGTGGCCAAGATGCGTGACCCACGCAAGCTGCATGGCTTATTCCAGAATGGGGAGGAAATGGGGCTCAGTTGCGTGGCCCACGCATACCCACAATGTAATAAATAAGGGAATTCTGGGAGAGAGAAAGAGGGGTTATTTTTGGCTAGGTTTTGAGTTTTAGAGAGAAGGTGGAGCATCCCCAAACCAAATACACTTCAAAGGTAAGTTTCATGATATTTTTATGGTGGATTAAAATTGATTGATGCTAGTATTAACATCTACATAGGTTGAAATTCATAGGAATTGGTCCAAAATCTCAAGAACACCCCAAAAGTTACCTTTCAAGATTTGGTCTTCAAGAGGTAATCTTTCACTCTTAAACCCATATACATGGATTGTTAGTGAATATATGAGCAAGAAATAAGTATTTGCACTTATTGGTGGTGCTTGCAAGCCATAAATGCTTAACTATATTGTTGGGTGTTGTAGATATTTTTTTAATGAGTTAATTAGTAAAATTGGGGGGATGTGAGTTCGTTGATGATTGTAATGGTGCAAAAGAAGGTAGTTAGTAGAACAAGTGTAGTATCTCTTGTTGGTGGTAAGGATGATTGTTAGAGGAAGAAACACCATTACTAGAGGTAGTAAAATGCTATGTACTCTAGGCGTTTGATAAAATGCCTAAATGGCCTAAACTATGGAAATTGTTACTAATGTTTGTTCCATTGGATGTTGATATTGTATATTGAAGTTGCTTAGTGTAGTGGATCGTTGCAGTATCATTAAGGGGCGAATTCCATGATGTTCCCGTAAGTTTCAAGTTGGTTGACTTCGGGGTTATAATGAAAGATTCGCTCTTTATTATTTGGAATTGAACCCAATAGCATGTGTTGATTGTATTGTACTATTTGTGGCTAGATTCGAGGAATTTAGAGGCCAACTCGTGAGGCAAGGGTATATTGGAATAGGGATTTGCACGACTTGAGATAAGTAACTCTTCTAAACTTAGTGCTGAGGGTATGAAACCCTAAATTACGTGTTGTGTGATTGGTTTTGAGTTAACGCATATGCTAGGTGACGGGCGTGTGGGCGTGCGCCCTGTGAATTGTGACTCTGTTCTTTCCATGGCGCTGTATAGTGGTCATATTGTGTTGATATCTGTGTTTTCACCATGTGATAAGATAATTAAGCTGTCAATCATGCTAGATATCATGTTTAGGCTTTATGCCGATATAGTTAGGACCCATAGTGGTCGTTTTTTGCTGTCATCTCACTGATTTCATTGATATTTCGTACTCAGACATATTCATGCATTTATATCATATCCCAGTCTCAGTTGTTATTTATTGATACATCACATCATTGTTGTCGGGCTAGTTTGATGACATTGTTAGCCCGTGAGTGAGACTGGAGAGATTGATGATTGAGCGAGGCCGAGAGCCTGATTATAAGTGACAGGTATGGGATCGGGCTGCGCGCCGTAGTGGTTATACTGATTTATGATAACGCTTGGGCTGATGGAGCCCCTCCGGAGTGTGCACACACCCCCAGTGAGCGCGATTGATTATATTGAGGGATGGATCTTCCCTGAACATGGATCTTGTCCGAAGCATTTATATACCTGGAGATGGATCTTCTCATGGGGACAGATTGGCCATCCTCGGTACTGAGTGACTGATGGTCAGTTGATGTATATATTTCGCGATGGATCTTCCTTGGGTCGTATTGGTCATATACAGTACTAAGTTGTTGAGCATGATGAGTGGAAAGTGTGAGACAGTTAAATTGAGAGGATGTTTGGCTAAGCTTATAAGCTGGTCAAACTGGCTTATAAGCACTTTTTGGCTTATCTACGCGTTTGGTAAAATTAAAAGTGCTTATAAATTAAGTGCTTATAAGCCAAAAATAAGCCAAAAGCCATAAGTTGGTCTCCCCCAGCTTATCAAATTTCAGCTTATAAGCATTTTAGGTTTGACCAAAATATTTACTATCCTATCCCTAAAATACTTCTTTTTAAAACAAAACTCTCTTTATACCCAGTTCTTCAGTTGCTTATTATTAATTTGCACTTTTATCCAAACACGTAACTGCTTATTTTTTAAATCAGCTTCAGCACCTAAAAGTGCTTTTTAGTACCTAATGCTTATCGGCTACTCTAAATCAGCTAACCCAAACGGGCTCTGAGTACTCTGAGAGTGTGAGTACATGATTGATCTCTGAGATACATGGCATTGGCATGCACGCATGGCATACAGGCATAGATATGCATTTTTCCTCATGATGTACGGTATCACATCATTCATGACTTTTTACACACATTGATATGTGGACATAGAGAGGTATTTCACACTTGCTATATGGAAATAAAATGAAACATCTTATTTATTGTGGAAAGGATTTTTTGAAAAATTATAATTTTCAAACTATCTCATATTTTTCGACGATTTCGGTAAAGGATTTGGGTTTTCACTGATATTCTTGAAAAGCGGAACTATATTCGGAAAACTGTGAAAAAGCTGAGCATTTTATCTTTGAGTTACTTCCTTATTTATATGCTCTACGTTGTTAAGGATTGTTGTTGGCTACTGCTGTGTTGGACCCGACCATGTTCCAGCTCGTCACTACTTTCAACTCTAAGGTTAGGTTTGTTACTCATTGAGTACATGGGGTCGGTTGTACTCATACTACACTTCTGCACATTGAGTGCAGATCTCGGATGCCAATGTTGTTATGCATGGCGGGAGCGAGCATTGAAGATGTACCTGCGATCCAGACTCAGTTGCCTCTTGTTCTGAATAACTTTAGAATTTTTAATTTGTTCATGTATAATTCAAACAGATGATGTATTTATTTCATACCAGCTTTGTAAACTCTAATTTTAGAAGCTCATGATTTGTACAATCAGTCCTTGGGGAGTGTATTAGAGATAATTAAATATTAATTGAATCAGATTATTATTATTTGGCTTACCTAGCAGGTGAGGTTATGTGCCATCACGCCTAGTCAGATTTTGGGTCATGACATGATCCCTCTGGTAGGCAATTTCAGCTGGCTATTGAATTTGAGGGGAAGCCTGCTTTCTGTGCCAAAGAACCGCATGAGGAGAAGGCAGCCCAGTTACAAAGGAAAAGGAGAACAAGACTAGTTCCCACACGGAGGCCAACTGGACAGCTGATACAACACCCTGCAACAGACCAAAAAGATCAACAACTTAGTAATGAGGGGAAAGTGGCCATAGGAGGAGAATGGGTGAAGGTTAAACCAAAAGGAACCCCACAGCTTCACATGAAAATTGATAAGCCAACAACAAGTGGGAGTAAAGGTCCAGAACAACAAACAAACAACTTAATTTGGCCAATCCTAGTTGTAGTTGTTTCAACGAAGAATGGGTTTCAAGTGCTACATGAAGAAGGACACAAAGGAGAAGGACAAAAAAACCCTGATACAGGAAGGGGGATACAACATACCCAATGACTTGGATTATCTGGAATATAAAAGGAATAAATAAGAGGTACAAGCAGAAGGAACTAAAGCAGTATCTCAAAGAAAATCATATAAAAATAGCTGGACTCCTTGAAACTAGAGTGAAGGAAAACAAGGCACCACAGAATGCCAACAAGATTGTTCCTGGTTGGGAGAGAATAAGCAACTACAGAGATGCAAGGAATGGAAGAATACGGGTAGTATGGGATGCTAAAGCTTATAACATACAACAACTAGCTAGTGCAAGTCAATTTGTTCATTGTATGGTAACAGGAAGGCTGAATGGAATAGATCATATACTTACAGTAGTATATGAGTTTAATACAGTGGAAGAAAGGAAAGCACTATGGGATAAATTGAAATCAATGGCACCTATGACCAATAAACCTTGGCTAATTAGTGGGGCTTTAATGCAATCCTACACCCCAATGACAGGCTATCTGGAATATCTGTATCATTAGCTGAGTTAAAAAATTTCTCTGAATGTTTCAACAAATTGCTGCTAAATAAGGTTTCTTGGAAAGGGAAATATTACACTTGGACAAACAAACAGAGAGGGAATGATAGAGTCTGTAGCAGGATTGATAGGGCAATTGCCAATGATGAATGGATGCTTCAATATGGGTCCTTGACTGCAGTATATGGAGAACCTTTCATATCTGATCACACACTCATTCTCATCCTAATGAGAGAAGCCAGAAGAAACATCAAAGTTCCTTTCAGGTTGTTCGATGTCAGGATAGAACATCCTAGCTTCAAGCAAATAGTGGAAATAGAGTGGGGTAAAAATAAGGCTATAGCGAGAATGAAGAATATCTGGCTCAAATTGAAAGGCTTGAAACCTACACTTAAACAATTGAACATAGAAGAGTTTAAGGGGATTATAGAGAAGATGAGTCAAGCAAGATTAAACCTGAAAAGGATTCAAGAAGAACTTGGAGACACTTACTTTGATGCATTGTCTGATCAGGAGAAAAACTATCTGATCCAACTGGAAAAATGGTCTCTAATAGAGGAAAGTGCACTACAACAGAAGTCAAGAGCCACCTGGATCAAACTAGGGGATTCAAATACTAAGTACTTTTCAGCTGTAATGAAAGAGAAGCAACATAAGAAGCAAATAATTGAGATCAAGTCATTGTTGGGGGTCAATTCAGGATCCTGAAGCTATCAAAGAAGAATTTGTTAGCTTTTACAAATCCTTGATGGGAACTGCAGCATCAAAACTACCAGCAGTGAATAGATTGGTAACGAGAAATGGCCCTTTTCTTATCACATGCACAATAACTAGAGCTTTGTGCCCCAATTACAGAGGAGGAAATCTATGAAGGACTGTTAAGAATGAAGTTTGTGAAGCTGTGCAAGATTTCTTCACCACATGAACCTTGTATAAAGCTATAAACTGCACTACACAAACTCTGGTGCCTAAGGTTCCAAATCCAGATACAGTCAAAGACTATAGGCCTATAGCTTGTTGTATAGTGTTATACAAGATTACTGCTAAGGTCATCACGAGCAGGTTACAGAAAGTCATGGCCTACATCATCTCAAAGGCTCATGCAGGGTTTATCCTAGGAAAGAAGATAGCAGACAACATTATTTTGGCACATGAACTTATCAAATCCTATGGTAGAAAACATATCTCCCCCAGATGTATGATAAAGGTAGATCTACAAAAAGCTTATGACTCATTGGAGTAGATTTACCTAGAACAAGTTATGGAAGGACTGAGGTTTCCAGAGAAGTTCATCAAATGGGTAATGAACTGTATCAAAACAGTTAATTACTCTATTCTACTTAATGGAGAATCAGTTGCACCATTTAATGCAGCCAAAGGCTTGAGACAAGGAGATCCCATGTCTCTTTTTCTCTTTGGTATTGCCATGGAGTACTTGAGTCAACTACTTAAAGACCTACAGCATGAGAAAAGCTATAAATTCCGTCCAAGGTGTAGAAGGTTGAGGATCACTCATCTAAGCTTTGCTGATAACCTGTTGTTGTGTGCCAAAGGAGACAGTGAATCTGTTCAGAAACTTCATGCATGTTTTACTACATTCTCGGCAGCCTCAGGCTTGCAAGCTAACTTAACCAAAAGTGCAGTCTATTGTAGAGGAATGGCACAAAGGGAGAAATAGGCTACAGTTCAACAGCTAGGTTACTCACTTGGTGAACATCCTTTTAAATATCTAGGGGTACTTCTAGATACTAAGAAGCTCACCATGGTACAGTCGCAACCCCTCATAGCAAAAATTGTGTCTAAAATCTCTTCATGGACTGGAAAGCTATAATATGCTGGGAGAATTCAATTGATTCAAACAATGTTATTTGGGATCCAATCTTATTGGGCTCAACTCTTCCCTTTACCGGCTAAGATGATACAAATAGTTGAAGCCCATTGCAGAAGCTACCTGTGGTCTGGGGGAGATACAATTACAAAGAAGGCCCTTATTGCTTGGGAGAAGATCTGCATGCGTAAGTCTACGGAGGCCTTAACTTGCATAATCTCCAGGTATGGAACAATGATGCAATTGCGAAGACACACTAAGATTTGACTCATAAGCAAGATAAACTTTGGATAAAATGGATCCATGCCTACTACATCAAGGACCAGAATGTGGGAACTATGACCATTCCACAAACCTCTAGTTGGATTGTGAGAAAAATTTTGGGGGCAGCTGAACAGACCTCTTGTTGAACATAAGAGTGTCATTACACAAATATACTTACGACTGATACCAGAATACCTAAAGGTAAGGTAGGGAAAACTAATGTTCCAAAACCTTGCAAGACCAAAAGCCTTATTCACAATGTGGCTATAATGTCAGGACAAACTTCTAACAGTGGATAGATTGCTGAGATGGGGCCTTAATGTACAAGATGTGTGTTCACTGTGTCAATCTCACAATGAAACAAGAAACCATTTATTTGTTGAGTGCATATATGCTCAGGCAATTTGGAACAGAGTCAACAAGTGGGCGCAATAACTGAAAACTACAATTCCAAGAGATTGTTAAAAGTATAGGAAGAAAACAAAGGCAAAACTCATTAAGGTGATGTACGCTGAAGTTATATATGCCATATGGAAGGAGAGGAATTTAAGAGTTTTTGGAAAGCTGGGATCTTTGAATATGTTTTTTCTTCTTTGAGATTAGCTGGCTGAGTTGTGCTAAGCTAATGACTTGTAATTGCTTTGGTGATTAATAAAAAGCCTAATTAATTACCAAAAAAATTATATCCTTATAAAAATTCATATTCCTATGAGATGGAAAAAAAATTATCTGAAGGATACCCCTTAGCCCCCCCCCCCCCCCCCCCCCCCCGCGCGCAGGACAACAATCCAAAGGGGAAAGTAAAAGACCCTTTCATTAACATTGCAGCAAAACTGCTGGACCAATTAAACAACTAATCTTGACCAACAAGAAATAAAAGACCCTTTCATTAACATTGCACCAAAACTGCTCGACCAATTAAACAACCAATCTTGACCAACAAGAAGTCAATATTTCCACGATAATTCAAACACTTAGGAATATATAGTTGATGACAAAAAAATTAGCTTCTGTAATCTCTGAAAAGAAATAATTTGAGTACACCCATTAAAGGTAAAATTTTAGGCATATAAGAATAAATAATTTCTCGACATTTAAACTCTGATCTCCTATAGGTTGCATTCTGTCATTGACCTTGAGGTCAGATTAAGTGCACAAAAAAGTTTGAGGATTTTCTGATCAACCCAATAAAAGTTTGCCCGCAAGAATAAGATAGAGATACCAGATTAAGTTCTGAAATATTAAGATCACGCAAAAATAGTGCTATAAGTTTCCTCTGTAAACACGGTTCAAATATCACAAAATTCTTCCATGGAACTATGACTATCTCAAGATATAGGAAAAAGCTTCCCCACTGTCTGAAACACGCTAATTCAATCATCGGATTAAGAAGATCCCTTTGTCTTTCTAGGAGCCAATTGAGTCTCAGGCTGCATCAAAAGAAAACTCAGATGACAATACCAAAAGATACAATTACATTAAAAAGCAATAAAAACATGACAAAATAAAGGCAGAACAGATCCAAAGATGGAAACTTATGGTAAAATAGTGCGAACTTTGAGCAAGTGTACGACTTAAATAACATATGCAAGTTTTGGGAGTCAACACCAGTGAGCAAAACAGGTAGCATGATGACTAAATTTCAAATAAAATTTTACCTCCTTCTTGACAGATTCTTCCTTTTCAGACAATGTCAACTCAATATGGCATGGATGAGACATGTAGGCTGCAAAAGAAGGCCAAGAGGTTAAGATAACATTCTCCAGCTAAAAGAAGAGCCAGTAAATGAGCAGAGCACTTACGATTGATTCTTCCATGAGCACGGTACGTACGACGCCTCTGCTTCTGCGCTTGGTTCACTTGGATGTGAGATATGAAAAGCGAATCCACATCTAGGCCTTTAACCTAAGACAGTTTCAAATGATCAATAAAATCTACTTGAAGGAAAGAAAAGAGAAAGGTGTCAATAAGATAAATGATCCAAAACCAGAACATACTTCAGCGTTACTCTCAGCATTCTTGAGTAAATCCAGAATGAACTTTGTGGATTTAACGGGCCAACGTCCTTGTCCATTTGAATGACGATCCTTTGCCTGCGCAGTGCGGCCAACACCACGACAGAAGCGTGTGAAGGGAATAGCTTGTTTGTGGGCAAGAACATCCTCCAAATACCTCTTGGCCTTGTCTAAAGGCATCTTCCTAAGAGCATGTGCTGTCTCTCTTGTATTCTGTTTTATAAGTAATGCACATATATATGAGAAAGAGGCGTACCAACGACATAAATGAGGAACTCCAGAGCCTTGAAGATCATTATGACTAGTTAACTGATTAGGGACAATGCAAAATGCATTTGTGCTATTCCTTCCTTAACTTTTACGACTAGCACTACGAGAGATACTGATTACTCATCCAAACCATTCAAGGTCACCCCCTTGCACATGCATCGAACACCAAGCTACTTGTAGATGAACAATTGGCATTACTAAGCTAGGCCTCCTTTTAACAAGCACCATTAGGGGGAAGAAACCCCCAAAAAAAGGCCTAGAAGGGGGTCACAAAATACATGAAAAAAGACTAAACATGCTAAAGTTAAGTAGTGAGATTCAACATGATCCTAGTTCACCATATGACCATATGAATCAAGGCTCTAAACTGAAAGAAGAAAGGATGGTGTTATGCCATCAATGTCCTCATAGTTTATGGTAATCAGAATACTTGCAGATGATGATCACGATTTGGAGAACATATGGAATTGCAAGGAAAATTGAGACCTCTATGCTTTACTTCTTCAGCAACTCAGAGGCATAGTGCTTTAGGCTATAACTATTGGATTGACGTACTCGAATCAATGTGGTTACAGCTCCATGAGAGACGAGTCTCCTAGTTTAAGTAATCAGCTTAAGAAGCAGAACAAAGATGTTCAAGACCATTACCCAAAGTGTAACGTGTCAGGCATATATGTTGAAATTACATGCGTGATTACGCTATGAAGTTCGATAAATATTGAAACAATATCCCCACCAACTCTCATGACCCAATATATATGTGGAGACCAAAAATGTATATGGAAACAGTGGCGGAGCCATAAATTAACAAAAAGGGATTCAAAAAATACTATAGTGTCACAGCTAGGATTTGAACATGTGATCCAAGGCAATTTTTGAATTCCCTTTGCCAATAGACTAGAATCTTTGCTTCTATCAAGGAGTTCAGCAGTTCATATAAGAGTATAACAAAAAAATCATCTTTCGGGATTCAATTGCAGCCCCATGCCTCCCTTTACATCCGCACTGTGCGGAAAGCAGCGTGCCTCAATGCACAATGTCTTGAACTGTATAGATATTTAAAAAAATTCTAAAATATATCTTTATTTTAAATCTGAACACATTGTCATGAAGTAAAGGGTGCACATCGCATCCATCCAAAGCTTAATGTTAAAAAATACCCTATTATCATATGAAAAGCGTCTAAAAAGTGTAAAAAACGGGTCCAAAAAATTGTAACGTGACGGACCTTGAAATGAACTCTGAGAGCCGAGCCCCTGGCTTTGCAAGCTGATACATTAACACAGACCAGTTCTAAAGTTAGAGAAAAAAAACATTGTACAAAATGCAACTTGCGTGTATATATGTAACGTTGAATACTCACATTTGGTAGGATTATCGGGTTCTTTCGAATACTTCACCTACATTGAGCAAAAAATTACACGTACAAAATGCATTAGGACATAAATTAACAACAAACCGAAGGGGGAAATAGGCAGGAAATTTTTATAGAATTACCATGGCTGCCGGCGATGCTGCTGCTGGTTGAGTTGCCTACTTTGATGCCAAAGTCGAGAAGTGGAGAAGAAGTAAGGCTTTTTTTCTTGTAGGGTTTTGCAAGTTCATTGGGCCTCACTAGTGGGCCTCTGGGGAGTACTTTAGTGGTCACTAATTACTCTTCTTAATGCAAATTTTTCTATACGAAATATCTGTATATTTTAGCTATTATTTTTGAGATGGTTATACTGTGCAAGATTTACTTTAAATTTTTCTAGTCAAAAATATGTTTGGGTTTTCATATTAATATATAATTGTTAGTTAATAGAATTATTTATTTTTAGTTATTAATAGTCACACTGAAGAGGAGGATCAATATCGCTTATGTCCAGAAATCCAAATGGGTAGAGACTAAGGCACGAGATGTGAACGTGTTTAAATTGTGGTACTCAAGATGCTCGAGGAGTAGAAATGGAGTAGAAATTTTAGTCGATAGAAAAGTCCTGAAGCAGGTGGTAGAGGTTAGGAGGATATATAAACGTGAGAATGATGGTGATTAAGCTAGCGCTAGCGCAAGGTACAAGCAATTGGGCAGAGGTGTGTGTCCTTCTATTTGGCATCAACTGATGCATGCAAAGGGAGGACGGTAATCATTAGTGAGACAAATTCTCTCCTCATTCACTACTATATTACTGGTGTTTGGTCCATACCTAACAACTTAATGGTGTTGTTACTAGACATTGTTCCAGAGAAACAAACTAAGTAGTGGATTAAATGGCTGCACTGATTCAATTTAGATAGTCGTCGAGCAATTTTGAATTCTAATTGGAGGTTAGTTTCATAACGAGATATATGTGCAATTTCAACAATTAGATACTACATTATATTTGGTGACTATACTTGTAATATTTAGCTTCCTAGTATAAATAGCCCTTAAGGCTCTTATTTTAGAGTTAACTTATTTTGATATTGCGAATGAAAACTGATTGAGGGTGTTTAGGATGAATTCCTATGTTGGTTGATTACTTGTTAAGGTGAGGTGAACTTGCAAGGTTCTTATGCGAGTTATGAGGCAGGCAGGCAGAAAACAGGTTGTACCAAGGATTGTCAAGATGGGTCATTTTAGGACAGACTTTCAAGATGATGACGTCCCTTACAAGTGCCAAGCTCAGCACATGTGGCACTGCAAAATCATTGTGGAGAAAAGCACCGTTGAGCCAGACAAGTATCATGCAGGGTGCGAGCCTCTCTACCCAACATGGTTGGAGGACAATCTGAAAGGAAGGGTGACACCAGGGACCGATCGAGGGAACAGAATCATACATGAGGAAGCTGAAGCTCAAGTCAAATACAAACGGCTGCGCATTAAAATTTTATGAGAGTTGTTCCTATAGTTTTGTGTCAATTAAGTCTTAAATTGATTGGGCATTTATTTATTTCAAATATTCTTTCAATTTTCTTAATTGATTCTCTACTAAATCTCTATCTTTCTCTCATTTTATTTGTGTTCTTATTATTTTACTTCGGCGTTTTTATCATCTTGATGCCAAGAGCTTGGGTTAATGTGTGTTCGTATATACACTGTCTAGGTTTTTTATTTCTATATCAGAAAATTTGAAAAAAAATAAAATCCAAAATCCTAAATAGTGTCAATGTTACTGTTTGAGTTCATTGTTGAGTTCCATCAATGTGGGTATCGTAAAAATTTGATTGCTATCAAATTTGGTTAAAGTTTAATGATTCAGCTGAAATTTTAAGTTGTTGATAAATTTGTTGGTTACTGTTGTTTGGAGGCTAAACTCGAGATTAAGACATTACTGACAGAGAAGAAACATAGCTAAAATCTCCATGCCGGAATCTTGAGTTTTGGGTTCCAAAAAAAAAAAAAAAATCAGATCCGCGAAATTGATTTCTATTTCAATTGGTGTTGTAATTTCGGACCTATAATCCGTTGAAAACACTGTTGGGAAACATTTATTGCTGCTGATTCGAATTGGAAGTTCGGGTTTCTTTGTTTGGGTTCATCGAGAAATGAATCGCGATTAAAAAAGAAGAAGAGGAATTTGGTTCGATTGATTTACATTGGTTTGCTGCTAGATCGGAGTTTATTTCGTGAATACCATTGAGTTGGAGCGGAAACTTGAAGAAGAAACTTCATTGGCAGCCATGGAAGAAAGCTTCGAAGCTTAAGTTCAAGTTGCGGGTTTCCGAAATCGAGTTTTGTTTCAGAGTGTGTGTTATTCCAATAGATCGGGTACGTCTTGCGGAGCTTTTATATCGAATTTGGGACTAAATCGTGAAGATTTGAACAACGTTTGGACTGATTTTCAGAGCCAGTTCTAACAAGGAAGAACATGCTGCAAATTAACAGATTTTGCAGGAATAGCCACATCTTGCAGCACAATTTCGAAATTAGCCACTTTTGTCCAGTAACCCATTTCTGTCCAATTTCAAAAATAGTCTTTTCAGCTTGTTTCTTTTTTCTTTCTTTCTTTCTTTTCTTACTTATTCTAGCTAGTTTACTTAAGTATTAGTTCATACTTGATGATAAACTAGTTTTTTTGTGTGCTTTATTTTATTTCGTGCTAATTTTTTGTGCTTTTCTCTTTAGTTTCGTTGTTAATTTCTTATTTCCATGGTCCTTTAGTTATTTTAGCTTCTTTGTTAAGTCACATAAACTCCATTCTCGCCTCGAAGTTGGAAGGTCCACTTGAAAATACCTTGATTGAGTTTGATATCAACTTTGGATATTCATCCAAGAGTAAAAAAAGGCTTGAGTGGTGAGATTCTTAGAGCGTGTGCCCAAAAGTCAAGTGCATAAGAGCGATACATGAGTGGTAAATTTTGAGTGTTATCTTTGAGGGATACACTAAGGGAGTGAATTGGAAAGGTTCTTTTACTTTTAACTTGTTTTCTTTGTTTGTAGGTACTATGTCTTTGAATATTGGGGGTACTTTAACTCCAAAGGAGGGAGTCTCTAATGAGACTATTTTGGAGGCTTTACAAGCTTTGATTATGAAAGTTGACAACATGGAACATATGGTCAAGTCTCATGACAACCTTCTTAACCAAAGGCAAGACTTGTCGCCTAATCCTAACCAAGGAGTGAGAACTAGTGCAACACCACAAAATAGTTCTACTCCCGCTGCACCACACATTGAAGGGCTAATCAATCAACCATGAGTTGCTAGCAATCAAGTATCAAGACAAGGTCCATTTCCACAATGTAGACAAGCAATAGTTGAGCATCAACAACAACCTCTTATGCCACAACAACCGCAAAATGACTTTGATGATGATTTAGCAATATGATGAACCGGATAGAGTCTAACCTAGAAGGAATGGACAAGGAGGCTTTAGAGGGAGAGGTGGAAGGCAAGGTAGGAATTATCACGGTAAAAACTTGAATGATGCTTATGATTATGGTTATGATAGAAATATTGGTAATGAAGAATGGTAGAATGTGGAGAGATGAAGAAGACCGGGGTCTTAACAACATCAAGACTTCACTTCCTACTTTCAAGGGAAGTAGTGACCTTGATGAATTTTTAAAATGGGAAATACAAATGAAAAGGATGTTTGAGCTTAATAATGTATCCGATACAAAGAGGTTCAAGCATGCCATTTCTAAACTTGTTGGTTATGCTTCTTCTTGGTAGGAGAAAGAGAAACGGGATAGAAATAGATATGGAAATTGATTCTTGGGGGTTTCTTAGGGTGGTTATGAGAGCAAGATTTGTGCCGAAAGAGTATGTGAATAGCTTGCTTACCAAATTTTACAACATGAAGCAAGGGAACAAGAATGTGGATGCTTACTTTGAAGAGTTGGAGAGAACTAGGGTTAGAGTCAATCTTGAAGATAATGGAAGACTTATGATTTCTAGATTTTTGGCGGGGGTTAAGCATGAAATCTCTAGCCAAATGACTTTGCACAGATTTGTTACTATACATGAGGCACTCCAAGGGGCTATCAAAGTTGAAAATAAACTCCAAGAAGAGAGGCAACTCAAAAATAGCAAATCCTAAGGTTACCACACTCCATGGAGCAAAAAAAAAAGAAATTTGGCAATCTCTTTCAAATGACGACAAGACAAAAGTTGACTCCAAGTGGCAAAATGAATAAGGCAAACCAAAGGTGGAGGCTAAGGAGGGAGGTAACAATTCTAAACCTTATTTTCAAAATCCTAACTCTAATAGATGTTACAAATGTAAAGGATATGGTCATAAAATGAGTAATGTCCTAATAGAAGAACCATAATCCTTATGGAAGAAGCTTATGAAAGGGAAGAAAGTAGAGAATCATGTGAAGAAGAGGAGGCTGAACGTGATGATGAAGTAGAATATGACACTCCTGATTTACCTTTGTATGTTGTTAGGAGAGTATTGAGTGCACAAGTGATGGAAGATAAGAACCAAAGAGAGAACTTGTTCCATGGAAGGTGTAAGATTAAAGATCAAGTATGTTCTTTGATTATTGATGGCCGTAGTTGTGCTAATGCTTGACAAGTTGATTTTTAAGACTCAAAGACATACTCGTCCTTATAAACTCTAATGGCTTGATGAATGTGGTGAAATTAATTTTGGTGAGTTTTAAAATTGGAAAGTATGTTGATGATATTCTTTGTGATGTGGTTCCCATGTAAGCATGTCATTAATTGTTGGGGAGGCCGTGGCAATATGACAAGGGTGCTCTACATGATGGAAGGAGTAATAAATATTCTTTTGAGGAAAAGTCCTTACTCCTTTGACTCCATTTCAAGTGAGTGAAGATTACAGGCATATGAAAGAATTGAGTGAGAAAGCCAAGAAAGAAGGAAAGCAAAAGATTGAAGAAGAATGAAAAGAAAGATGAGAGAAAACAAGAGAGTTCAAGTGAGGAACATCTTTCTTATAATTCTTTCATTACTAATGCTTTTCTTGCTAGTTGTTTGGCTTATTGTATATATCCTTTGAAGAAAAATTCAAATGGAAGTCTTCAAGAAAGAACTCCAAGTGAGGTGATCGAATAAACCCTAACCCAAAGTGAAGATTCCTCCGCTCTTCGAGGAGGTAAAATAGAATCTTTAGAAGTGTATCATGGTATGATTGCTAAGCCTAACACCCTTTCTTTTTGTGATGAGCTTAGTGATGT